GCTCCCGAGGATGCCCAGGTGGCACAGATGGCTGCTGGATGGCTTCCTGCTTGCGTTTGGGTGATTTTAGGCGATTCCTGGCATTTTCTGGGTTATGGGATTATGCAAATCCAGATCCATCCTCTCATCTCCAGCTCTGCTGTCTCGGGGTTTTGGGTTTTTTTGGTTTTTTTTGTTTGTCCCGCTGGTTTGGGTGTCACCAAATGTCACCTCTGTGCCACTGCTCTGCCCGGACACCCCAAAATGAGAGGGGGTGGAGGGTGAGGACACCCCAAAACAGGGTTGGGATGGGCACACGGAGCTCCTGATGGTCCCTCATGGGCAGAGACTGGGCCAGAGGGGAAAAAGGAGGGAGGGGAAGGCACCGGGCCCTCCTGGGCTGCAGCCACCCCAAAACCCCCCTGGCTGCACCCCAAAGCAGGGCAGGGGCTGTGCCACCAACAGGGAATGAGGGGAGGGCTCCGTGTCCAGATCTGTGTCCCCGTGGGGCAGAGTCACCCATGGGAGAACTGAGGGTGATCCCAAATCCATCCCTGTGGGGCAGGGGTCAGGAGAACCCCGGGTGATCCCAAATCCATCACCACGGCCGTGGGAGAATCAGGRTGATCCCAAATCCACCCTCCTGGACCAGGGGTCAGGAGAACGCAGGATGATCCCAAATCCATCCCCCTGGAACAGGAGTCACTCATGGCCATGGCAGACCCAAGAGTGATCCCAAATCCATCCCTGTGGGGCAAGGATCAGCCCAGGATGATCCCAAATCCATCACCACGGCCATGGCAGATCCAAGAGTGATCCCAAATCCATCCCCCCCACCCCAGGGCTGGGATCGCTCCCCAAATTCCAACCAGCGGATGTAACGCGCTGCATTTTTTTTTTAATTTTCTACCAAAAGAAGTGTCTACACTGCAGGATGGAGGCTGAACAAGAACTGGTATTGACGTTMAATATTGCAGGATAGAACTGACCTTGCTGGCTGCTTGAAGCCCTGGGGTTTGGATTTACAGTGACATGGATAACAAGCCATTCCCAGATTTATCCTCTCCCCTGGGGCGAGGTCCAGAGCAGCATTTGCAATTTTGTTCTATTTCAGTGTGCAAAAAAAAACCCCATGGCTGTATGGAAAAGAAAGTCAAAGTCGTTAAAACAGACACACACGATTCGTTCATCTGCTTGTTGGGTTCTGCTGGGGGCTTGAGGGGTTTTTGTTGAGTTTGGTTGGGTTTTGTTGGGGGTTTTGGGGATTTTGTTGAGTTTGGTTGTTTTTTGTTGGGGGTTTTGGGGTTTTTGTTGAGTTTGGTTGGGTTTTGCTGGGGGTTTTGGGGATTTTGTTGAGTTTGGTTGGGTTATGTTGGGGGTTTTGTTGAGTTTTTGATTGTGTTTTATTGGGGGTTTTGGATTTTTTGTTGAGTTTGGGTTTTTTTTAGCGGTTTGGGGGTTTTCACTGAGTTTCATTGGGGGTTGGGGTTCATTTTTGAGTTTGGTTGGGTTTTGTTGGGATTTTTGTTGAGTTTGATTGAGTTTTAATGGACGTTACAGGGTTTTGTTGAGTTTGGTTGGGTTTCATTGGGATTTTTGTTGAGTTTGGTTGGGTTTTATTGGGGATTTGGGGGTTTTTGTTGAGTTTGGTTGGGTTTTATTGGACGTTTTGGTGTTTTAGTTGAGTTTGACTGGGTTTTATTGGGGATTTGGGGTTTTTCGTTGAGTTTGGTTGGGTTTTGTTGGACGTTTTGGTGTTTTTGTTGAGTTTGGTTGGGTTTTATTGGGGATTTGGGGGGTTTTGTTGAGTTTGGTTGGGTTTTATTGGGGATTTTGGTGTTTTCGTTGTTTGGTTGGGTTTTAATGGCCGTTACAGGTTTTTTGTTGAGTTTAGTTGGGTTTTATTGGGCGTTTTGGTGTTCTCATTCAGTTCGGTTGTGTTTTATTGGTCATTTCAATACATTTTCTTGGGAGATCTGAGATTTTCCCAATTCCCTTGGGTTTTGTTGGGTTTTTCCTTCTCCTGGCAGGTTTCTGGCACGTTCTCTACCAACCGGGACGCACTGGCAGGAGCATCACTCAGGTTCCTCTCGATACAGTGTGCGGTAGATTCTCAGTGTGGAGTGCCTGCGTTTATGGCTTTACACACCCTGTGGACAGGTGACTGCGTGTCTCGTGGTTATGGTTCCTCATGCATGGTCCCTGCTCATGCCGTCATGCAAATCGCTTCTACGTGTTAACGAGCACTTTGTTGGTTTTTGGTTTTGTTTTTTTTTTTTTTTGGAGGGGGGAGATCAGCCTGAGCTGGCTCCAGGCTGAAGGTACCTGATTGACCCCATCTCCCAAACCAAGTAAAGCCCATGGAGAAAGTAAAAAATGCAAAGAATAAATTTCAAATAAATTATGAGAACTCGGTGGGCTTAATGGGTGCTTTTTTTAGTTTTTCCTTTTTTTTCTTTTTTGTTCTGCTTGTTTTAACTCTTTTTCATTTTTTTTCTCCTTTTTTTTTCTCTTTTTTTTTGTTTTAGCCGCTTAACTAAACTCAAATCTAGTTTTGCATGAACGAACCCATCGACATCGTGACTTCTGGGTTTTCTTTCGAGAATAACCAACAAAATGGGAAAATAAAATCCACTTGGGGCTGCTTTGGAAAATACATGGATCCCAGCAGCGGGTTCTGTTTTTCTGTGTGCATGTGTGTGTGTGTGTGTGTGTGTGTGTGGTTTATTTTGCTTGTTTGTCCTAAGTTGCATTGACTGATGTGGAACATGCAGTATCCACCTGCCCAAACAATAGAAAATCCTTTTTTTTTCCTTTTTTTTTGTGTTTAAATGTTTGTTTACAGGGTCCTTTAAACAGGTGGTAGGTCACTGCTTTAGATGCAACGCTGTCACACAGTAAGCAGACTATGTTTGGTATAAGATCTTCAGGTAAGTGTCTCCACAGCTGTTCTGTATTGATATATTTCAGGAAGTTTGTAAACAATCTTTTTTTTTTTTTTTCACTTGCAAATATTTTTTAATTCGTACAATTCTACTATTTTTTTTTTAATTTTTTTTTTAAATTTTTTGTTTTTTGTGTGTCTGTCTCAACACTTGGATTCCCTGGTGTCTTTTTGTCTCTTTGCCTTTTCTCKCCTGCCCTCCTCCGCCCGCTGCTGTTTCTCCTTCTCGGGTTTGGTGACGCTGTCGTAGGACGGCAGGGACGCCGTGGATGGGGTTCCTTCCTTTTTCTCCCGGTTTGCTCCCCCGTTCTCCAGTTTGGTGGACGCGGGCCGTCGGCTGATGAAGCCCCGCCGTGCCAAGCGAGCCCTGTAAGCCCTCTGGATCACCACCGCCGACACCTCCTCCTGCTTGCGCCGCAGCGTGGTGGTGATGGGCTCGTAAGACACTTTGGAAGGGTTGGACGCCACGAACCTCTCCTCCATCTGCTGCCTCAGGATGTCCAGCTCCCCGCTGTCCCCCAGGACACGTTTGGTGAAGGCAAACAGGATGTCCAAACAGTGGATCCTGTCCCCACTTACCATAGGCAGGTCCATGGCGATCAGTTCGATGGTGTTGGGTTTCGGGACGCGCAGCGGATGCTCCAGAGCGTCGGCGAAGTCCGCCAGCTTGCTGTACTCGATGAACTGCGTGGCGTCGGGGTCGAACTTCTCCCAGATCTCRTAGAACGTCTCGAAGTCGTCCTCGCTGAGCGGGTCCGCGCTCTCCTCCGTGGCCACGCTGAAGTTCTCCAGGATGATGGCGATGTACATGTTGACCACGATCAGGAAGGAGATGATGATGTAACTCACAAAGAAAAATATCCCCACCGAAGGGTTCCCGCAATCCCCCTTAAAGCCGCTCCCCGGGTGCTCCTTGTCCAGGTCGCAGTCKGGCGGCCGGTTCAGGATGGGCAGCAGGAGCCCGTCCCACCCYGCCGACGTGGTGATCTGGAACAAGCAGATCATGCTGTTGCCAAAGGTCTCAAAGTTGAACATGTCGTCTATGCCGGCCTCGTGCTTGACGTAGGCGAAGTTGGACATGCCGAAGATGGAGAAGATGAACATGACCAGGAAGAGCAGGAGGCCGATGTTGAACAAGGCAGGCAGGGACATCATTAAGGCAAAAAGCAGCGTGCGGATCCCTTTGGCCCCTTTGATCAATCGCAGGATGCGGCCGATGCGAGCCAGCCGGATCACGCGGAACAGCGTGGGCGACACGAAGTACTTCTCAATGATTTCGGCCAGGAACATTCCTAAAGGAGACAGGAAACACGTGGGACACGGGAGAYRCRCGGGCTGCTGCTTCCTGWGAGCCTGGGGATGGACATGGGGCAYGGGGAMMSCYYMGGGGGAWTTGCAGAGGGTSTCCAGCACCCRGAGGTGTCACCTKKGGGCASGTGAGTCCTCCCGAGGGRCAGCTCCGATCTCYGCTCCTGTGACACMGACAGGACCCAGGGAATGGCTGGAGCCGTGCAGGGGATGGGTACCAGGGAAAGGTGAGGGTGTTGGGCACTGCCAGGGAATGGGCACAGCCCTGACCCTGCCCGAGCTCCAGGAGCATTTAGAAACGCTGCCAGGGAGGGCACAGAGTGGGATTGTGCAGGGTCAGCAGCTCCCTGTGGGTCCCTCCAGCTCAGGATAYYCCACAATTCTGATTCCACCCCTCAACCCCGTGCTCTGGCTCCCTGAAAGGTTCTCCTGCCCGGGGAGGGGAAGGGATTGACCCCTCCTGGATAAGGACGAGCGAGCTGCTGCTGGGGGATGTCTGCTCTSAACACCAAACCCTGCCACGGCAGCCAGGCTACGGATTGTGCTTGGAAGGTGCTCAAAGTGCGTGAGATAAACCTCATTTCAAGCARCAAAAAAAAAACAGGGCTGAGTTTTAGGCTGTGGGATGCCCTGGAGACTGATGGTTCATCGGTTTTGTGCCCGCCCTCCACGCTTTGCCCTGATTCCTTAGGGAGGTCGAGCGCATTTCACAGACCGGACGCTAAAAAACTCAAAACCTGTTGGAGAAAATGTGGATTGAACATCCCAATGAACCACAAACGAGATGGGAAGCCGTGTGCTGGGGCAGGAAACCCTGCAGGGCTGTTTTCGGGGCTCACTGAGCATGAAAACATTCTGATGAGGTGGGTAAAACTTCAGATTGTAAAATTCTAAAATTTTCAGATTTTAAAAACAGAGAGAGCAAGCGGTTTGGTTCACAGAATTCTGGGAAGGAATGGCAGAACAGATTAAAACATTCTGATGAGGTGGGTAAAACTTAGGATTGTAAAAATTTTAAGATTTTTCAGATTTTAAAAACAGAGAGAGCAAGCGGTTTAGTCCACAAAATTCTGGGAAACGAATGGCAGAACAGAAGAAAGAGGCATCARTCAGGAATTCTGCCACGGTCTCTCCCCAAGGTTTGAAGAGAACCTCGAAATCCTGATAAATGAAACATTCCCCTGCTGAGACAAGAAGGTCACAGAGCTCTCCCTGGCGTCACACTTACCCACGATGGACAGAATCACAACCACGAAGTCAAAAATGTTCCACCCGATGGTGAAATAATAGTGCCGCAAGGCGAACATCTTCAGCACACACTCACAGGTGAAGAAGATGACAAACACAAAGTTGATCCAGTAAAGGATGTCCTCCATCTGCTTGCTCTGGGTGTCTGTCTCCACCATCATGGTCACCATGTTGAGGCAAATCAGCATCATGATGACGATGTCGAAGGCTTGCTGGGTGACAAAGTCGAAGACGGCGCCTTGGATGCGGTTCTGGGGGCGGGAGAGACGAGGAATCGTTTGGAATTTTGAGAAATTACAGAATGTGGAATGGTTTGGGTTGGAAATGTCCTTAAAGCTCATCCCATGGCACAGCACCAGGGGACTCACCCCAAAACCCATTTTTTGGCTTTCTGAGGGATGCAAGSTCTTCCAGAAAGCAGAAAAACGTGCTCAGTTCTACATCAGTGCAGCCCCCAAGGATGGACAAATGCCCAAGATCCAACTCTGGTGCCAGGACGCTCCTACTCCACTACTGTGCCTTCTCACCCAGATGGAATTTTTGGGATTTTTTTGAGGATTCGGGCAATTAAATGATCAACACCAATCCCAGTGAAAGTTTTTAACTTTTCCAGATGACACGTGAGTTAGAGCAGCAGGGACAGGGTGATGTGGAGCCCCAAATGAGCCCGAACAAAGGATTTTTTTTGGAGCCATTTGAAATCAGCTCCCCAGGTTTTCCCTCAACACTCACCAGGGGTCGGGGAATGGGTTTTTGAGGCTTCTTGGAGCCCAGTTTTTTCATGGCRTTGTAATATTTCTTCTGCTCYTCCGTCATGAAAATATCYTGACCTCCAAAGTAAAGGGGAGAAAAGAAATTTGGTTACAACCAGGGAATAAAAYAGAAGGGGAAGGAGCAAATCCCAGCTCTGCCAGGTGGGAGGTTGGAGCTTTTTCAGACAGGAATAACTCACATTAATACCTGACCAAAAATTACTGTTTTTGTTACAAATTACCTGTTTTATTGCACAAATCACCTGAGATTGCAAAAAACGTGAGATTGCAAAAATGACCTGTTTTATGGCACAAATCTGATCTGTTTTATCGCACAAAAATGATCTGGTTTATTGCACTAATGACCTGTTTTATCTCCTCCTTCCCCAATTCTCTCTCCCCTCTGTGCCCAGCGGGTGTGAGGGCATTTACACAACACAAATCCTCAACTCAGCTCAGAAAAAAAGTAAAATATGAGACAGAGACAGAGGGAGAGGTGGGCAAGACACCTCACTTCTGGTTCATATTTCAGTCAAGGCATAAAAAACGGCCCAAAATGAATGAAAATGGGAATTTTTTTCAGCTGGCTGCAGTTTAAATCTTTCAAAGTTTAAAGTTTAAAGCCTTGGGCTGCGTGCTGGGCTCTCTGAGCTTCCACCCAAACAAGGCTGAGAGAGGCACCGACACGTCCATGGCTCTAAAAAATGAGATTTGTGCCCCAAACCCACTGAAATTTGCAGAGAAAAACCTCCCAGAACTCCTGGGACAGATCTGAGCTGGGAACCAGCAAACACAGATCACTTATCTTTTTCTTCTGCTGGTTGAAGTTGTCGATGATGACACCGATGAACAAGTTCAGGGTGAAAAAGGAACCGAAGATGATGAAGATAACGAAATAAATGTACATGTAAATGTTGTCCTCGTACTTGGGCTGCTCTTCTTGCTGAAGGGGAGAGGAGAAGAGGAATAAATGACATTTCAACAGCATCACAGGAATAGAGGCAAAACGGGATTGGTCACGTTTCCAAATTATTTCTTTTGAAGATGTAGGACCAAAAAAAAAAATCAAAAATTAGAAGAATGTTTTTACACTTTCCTGTTTCAAACCTGCACTCACTGCAGGATGAGAAAACCCATTTAAAATATTTTTATATAAAACTAAGAGAATAAAAGGGGGAAAAAATTGAAATTAAGAAAGGAATCGTGGTGTTTGCATGATTCCAGCACGCAAGAACCAGAAAATTCCCAAGGAATGAACTCCAACCCAGAGATAATTCCACAATTGGATTCACACAGATGCTCAGACTCACACTCAGGACTAAGATTCATGAGAGACCTTCTGGATAATTCCTCCCYCTAATTCATTCTAATGATTAAATCTATAACTTCATTAAATCCATCAAATCTGTAACTCCATTATAGATTTCCTTCACTGTGTTCCTACTCCAGCTGAACTGGAACAAAAAAGGGAACCAGAAGAAACCTCCTTTTTTGGGGATTTTCTTGAGCATTTTTTAACCCATCAGACCCCCATGAAACGATCAGAGTTTCATTCACAAACAATGTGAAATGTTATAAAAATTCTACATTTTTTACTCTTTGATTTTACCAAAGCAGAAGAGCAGATTGAAACAAAGAGAGGGGAATTTGGGAGTTTGCACAAACCTTTCTGGAATCTACAGCTGCGTACATGATGTCCATCCAGCCCTTGAATGTAGCCTGGCAAAGAAAACACAACTTGTGTGAGACAGAATTCACCCAAAACACAGGAACCAGCCCAAATTGTGTCTGCCAGGGCTCCCTGGTACTCCTGATGGCCCTGCACAATTTAATTTTGTTGAAATATTAATCTAAATCACATAAATTGTGTTCAAGCAGTTGATCCATGGGAACCTGGTGAGGTTCAAGTAAAAGGAAAAGGGGACAGATTTGGGKGTCATTCACTGCTGGGAAACCCTTAAATTAGGAAAGGGAAAAAATATAAAATGGCAAATTCATTCCAGCCCCAACCCCAGTGGGTTTATTAACAGGATTTTGTATTTCACAGAGAGGGAAATACATCAAACACATCAGGAATATTTCACATGAMTCCCAAAACCAAACTTACAACTTGCAGCAGAGCCAGATATCCTGCCCCAACGTTGTCAAAGTTAATTTTCACATTCTTCCATCGGATCTCCGTGGAGTTGGGCGGCATCAGAGCTTCGCAGTCGGTCTTGTTGTTAACAACATCTATCTCAAAGCGATGCTCAGCTGTTTCATTAAAGCAGTAATGATATTTCCCGGCAAACAGGTTAACCCCCATAATGCTGAAAATCAGCCAGAAGATAAGGCAGACCAACAAGACATTCATAATGGAAGGGATAGCGCCAACCAAGGCATTGACAACCACCTGTGTTGGAAGGGGTGGGAAAAAGTTTCAGTATAAAACACGAGGCAGGAGACAGCAAAGCATCACTACAGCTGCTTTTGGCTGGGGAACGGCTGCGGGGCTGCCACGGCCACGACAAACTCTGGGTGCTGCCAGAGAGGGCACAAATTCTGCTTCGAGCGCTGTTTTTGACATAAAAACAGGCCACGGGGGTGGATTTACAGAGGTTGATTTTTGGGTGGTTTGTCCTTTGGTGAAACAATGGTTTTATATCATTTTAATTGCCCAAAGGAAGAAAAAATTCATTTCCCAAAGCTCAGACTGTGTTGTAACAGGTTCTTGGGTGGAATTTGTGCAAGGAGGACACTTTTTSTYGTGGATTKAACCATTYTGCTCAGCCAGCAGCCCCTGGGGCCGTTCCCCACRTTCAAACAGAGCTGTTTTCACAGCAGAGCCTGGCCCTGCTGCCACCAGGACCACGCTCACCCCGATAACACCGAGATCACACCGTCACCGAGCACGGCCCCAGAGCTGAGCATGCAGCTCTGCAGGCTCCACAGACACAAAAACCACCTTCATTCCTTCCTTCCTTCCTTCATTCCTTCCTTCCTTCCTGCCTTCCTCCACCAGGACGGGTCTGCTCACAGCCCCATCCCTCTCCAATCTGAGCTTGCTGAGGTTTGGGAGCAGCTCCCAGCTCTGGGAGTTTTAATAGAGGAGGCTCAGCGGGATATTGAATATTTCGTGGTGATTTCCTAATTCAGATCCTTTATAGGGTGAACAGAATTGTTGTTGTCACCCTTTTGCTGCAGGTTTGGAACACAACTGCACCTGGTGGGTTTGTCCCTTTGTCCCTCGCTGGTGTCACCAGGGGCTCGTGGCCAGGCTGGACTGGGATTTAGGACTGGTTTAAGTGGAGGTGACCCTGCCCCATGGATGAGCTTTAAGGTCCCTCCTTCCCCAAACCAGGCTGGTGGAAAATGGAAGATCACGGTGATTAAACAGTGAATCCTCAATTGCAGACCCTGAATGATGCCACCAACAGCACCAGGAGGGTCGAGGGCACAGCTRAGAGCTCCAGCAGCTGAATTTGGATCCTTTGCTCTCCTGCTCATCCCAACAGGACGCTGGGCACCAACACCTGCAGGATTTCTTGGCTCTCACCCTCCTACAAACACCACGGTTTATTCCCAGAAACCAAAAAAATGGCAAAAAAGGATGATATTTATCCTGATATCCTGCTGAAATTGTAATTTCTGGCTTGTTCCACCCGCAGGGCTCTCGGGGAGAGCAGGAGGAGGAGGAGGAGGAGGAGGAGGAGGAGGAAGGTGATTTTTGTGTGCTCTGACAGAACACATGCACATCTCACAGCACCACAGGCACAATCCCTGACCCAGCTCAGAGCAGAGCAAACTCCTAGAAATGCAGATTGCAATGGAGGAGAGAAAAGCAAAGAACTGCAGAGCTCCTGTCAGYCTCCTTTGCAAAGGCCTTTCAGAAACCCATTAATACCAAATACTTTATTTTCTTTTCCTACACAATTTTTTTTGCACGTTTTTGGAGACTATTTCAACCCCAAATTAATACGAAATACCCTTTATTTTTTTTACTATACAATTTTTTTTGCGTGTTCTCAGGAGACTATTTCAACCCCAGATTAATAAGAAATACACTTTATTTAATTTTTTTCCTACACACATTTTTTTTGCTCATTCTCAGCAGACTATTTCAACCCCAAACGGGGCAAAAAGCACCAAAATACAGATAATTGTGATAATTGAAACCCCTGAGGTCGTGGTGCCAATTCCAGGAAAGCTCCTTCAGTTCAATGCTTTGCYTGTGCTTTGTTCTGGTTCCACAGACAGGACAGGGACCAAAAAAGCATGGAAAAAGGGGAAAGGGAAAGAAAGGAAAAGCTTCAGCACCAGACAAGGCTGCCAGTCCCCAGCAGACTGGGCTGAGAACAACAAGGTGCAACAAGAGGAATGAAACCAAAGTTTTCCAAGAGCTGAGCTCCCCCCAGGCCCTTCCTGACCCACCAGAGACTTTTCCCCCCCGGTGAATTTTTTTTGAGCCCCCTCAGACTGAGATTTCAATCCAATTCCAACCCCACCAAGAGCTGGGAGACCCCCGAGGCGGTTCCAATTCTGCTTCTTTGCACCTGGTGATTCTCCCTAGGTCCAAAAAATAAAAATTAAAAAAAAAAAAAAAAAAAAAATAAAAAATAAAAAGTTCCAGCTGAGAAGCCCCTCGGATGCTCGAGGTCAAAGCCAGGCCAAATGAGAGCAGCCAAGTGTGGACATGGGCTACGAATGGCGGGTGGTTGGGGCCAGTAATTAATGTTAATGAGCTGATTGATGCATCTCCCTTAATTAGAGGGGAGGGCGCAGCAGTGGGCGGGGTGAGGGCACATCCACGGAGGARGGGGGTGACTGAGTCAGCAGCTGCATCATGATTCTGTCTGGAATTTTCTTTCCGCCACTTTGGATCGGTTCTAGCATGCTTTTATTCCAAAAAAAAATAAAAATGAAAAAGAAAATGAACAAAAAACCGCTGCACGGGCATGCAGAAGGATCAGCTGCTAATGGCATCTTACCCTCATGCCCTCAAATCGGGACAACGCTCTTAAAGGCCTCAAGGCTCTTAGTGTCCTAAGGGATTTTATGGCACCTAGTTCCGAGTAGCCCAGGGCATTAGCTATAAGGCTGACTAAAGAGACCTACACAGAAAATAGAAAAAAAATAGAGGAAAAAACAACAACAACAAAAAAAA